TTTATCAGTATAAACACAGGACAGTCTCATTTTTCTTTTGACTTTCTCAGCTGAGCTCTCTCAAGCCCTTGCTTCCATCTGTAGTATAAACTTCCTTTGATGACATCTTATTTTGAGATTATACCTTTTTATTACTAAAATAGTTGCATTTCAGCTCTTAGGACTCCATCCTGTTCTCATATCTGATTTAAAGCACCTCCTCACCTAGCTTGACTCTGAACTTTGGTGTCATTGGAAAGGGACCCACATCTGTGCCCGCCAGCCCCTGCTGTCCTGGAGTGTGGGGAGGTGGAGGAGGGGTGGGGAGGACTCCCTCAGGCTCTTAGGTGCAGGGCTTTCCAGTTTGTCATTGGAAAGGGACCCACATCTGTGCCCGCCAGCCCCTGCTGTCCTGGAGTGCGGGGAGGTGGAGGAGGGGTGGGGAGGACTCCCTCAGGCTCTTAGGTGCAGGGCTTTCCAGTTCTGCCCTCAGGCCTGTCAGGGAGTCCTATGGGGAGGCAGCCTACCCAGAGGCCGGGCCTGGATACAGCCTGGTCCTTGCAAAGGTGCCTGTGGAAGAACCCCGGAAAATCTTCCACCTTGCAGGAGAAAGACTTCCCAACAAACACTGTCCTACACAACAGCCAGGATCCAAGTGTGCACAAAAGCCTAATTCTCCTCAAGGCAATCAAAAGGCGGCTCCCTGCTGTCCTGCCCTTGCTACCATTCACTCAACAGGGTGCTGGGCCAAGCACATTTGTCCGCCTGGCACCAATGGACCTGTCCTGCAAACAATTCCCTCCGCCCATGGCTCCAGGGCTCCCTGTTTGGCACAGATTATTTTTGAGCGGAGATACTCCAAATTCCAGATCTCGGATTGAGAAGGGGACACAATGGCACCCTGCACACTGAAATGGTAACAGATTTGATAAATAATTGGAGAGAGAAATTTGGGGGGACTCAGAGGACATCCTTCTGCCCCTTCCCCACATGTCCCACGGAGCAGAGTCCCAGGAAGCAAATTCAAACAGCAGCTGCTCGGTGAGTTCTCGATGTTCAATGCACGGAGGCTGTTGCTGGTTACACGGCGTCAAGGTTTTGCTTATTAATAAAAAGCTCTTGGTCATGTGGGTCCATTAACTATCAAGATGATATTTAATGTACAGTAACAGAAATAGCATAATGTACATACTATGCACGGAGTATATTACGTCTCATAAAATTACATATTATGTTGTCAGAATATTATCATAGTAATGGTGGAACAGTGAATAGTTGAATAAATAAAATATCATAATAGTGAAACTCAGTGTACAGGAAGCTTTTGCCTCTGGACGTGTAGAATTTGGTTTCCTAGGAATGCTGGTCAGAGATGATTCCTTTCACTGTCCAGGGTTCTTTGTCTCTGGTCCGGGCAGTGAACAGAAGTCTGTCCACATGCACACCCCTGCTTTCTCTCAAATTACTTATTTTCCTTCCTGGTGAACAATCCTCCCCCCACCCCACCCCACCTTACTAACTTCATCCTCCCTGAAAAGCTTTACTTATTTAGCTATTTTCAGCTGTAATGTTCTCTAGAAAAAAGACCCCTCTGGGCTGATGTCCTGATAAAAATCTCAGGGCCTCCCCAGATTTCCCTTGGAAACCCTTTAAAAGCTTTGCCTGGAAGCTTCCTCTGGAATTCCTGCTGCTGGCGCCTTGTGCCAGACGTCTGGAAGCTGGTGGAGCAAGCGGTTAACTATTTGCTGCCCGGAACTTCCCAGCACTGAGATCCTGTGACTTTCCAAATCTAAACTCCAAAGCAATTAGTCTTAACTAGAGAAGAGTTTCTGTAATGCCTGCTTGCTCTTCATTTCAGAACTTAGCCGCTTGCTGCACCAAGACCAGGCCTGGGTCTCCTTCCTGGGCAGGAGATGGGTGTGCAGACTTTTCTCCAGGGCCGCTCTGACCCCACCGCCCGTCAGGCTGCCGGCCCCACGACGGAGGCCAGCGCCAGCCACCAGTAGGTGGCAGTGCACCGCACCAGAAGCCCGTCACCCTCCCCCAGAGGTCTGAGCCAGGCCTGCTAGCAGGATTTACTTCTAAATTTGACCCACACTGGTGATGCAGTCACTGGATCGGAATGGAAGGAACCGAACCCAAGCGTGTTTGAACAGAACGCATCATTCTTTGGGCCTGTGTTTCCTAATTTAGTTTCCAGACTCTCGCTTAAGTCTCACACTCTGTGAATGGCTCCGCTATCTGTTATTCCCAGCTGGCAGTTTTGTTAACTGAAGCCTAGGAGAAGCCACGTGAGACCTTCCTCAAATCCCCTCTTGCATCCCAGCATGGGTCTATGCGGTGCACTCTAAACAGTGTCCAGGTCTCTCAGAATCGCCAGTCCATTTACCCGTGGAGACACTGGTTCCCTTTGCTTCTGCTGGAGTTAGTTTCTATCAGGATTTTCTATCCATGCACTTAACTAACTACCCATAACTTCTATTTTCATGGTAGGAGAATGTGCGGTGAGAAGATAACTGATATATATGACTATTTAAATACACTTAACAAGGAATTTTTTTTTAGTTTTTAATTGAAACATAATTGGTTGTACATACCTGTGTGCAATATGCGATGCTCAGATCAGGATAATCGGTACATTCATATTACACAATGCAATCATTTTTTGTGGTTCTTTACCAACTTCTCACTAGCCACCCCTCCACCTCCGAGAACCTCAGTTCTGTTCTCTCCTTTTGAAAGATCAACGCATTATTGTGATCGTTGTATCTTTCTTTTAATAAATTTTTTTTAGCTCCCACTTGTAAGTGAGGACATGTGGTATTTCTCTTTCTGAATTTTTAAAGTATCGAGTCATGAGGAAATGTGCTTTTTGGGGTGAGGACAATGAGGTATCCCAGCACTGCTGCTGGTGCAGCCTCTGGCACGGGCACACTTCCCAGTGGGACCCACCCTCTGAGCAGACCCACGGGTTTCAGGAGCTGGAGCCCACAAAAAAGAGTCAAAGACAATGTCACATGTGCTCAGTCCTATCTATAGCAAGTCCTCTCTGGGATGACAATAGGTGCTACCAACACAGAAAGTTCTAAGCACAGGGAACAGAATCCTGAAGGCCATCTGGTCTACCTCTCACTGTACAAACGTGGGACCTGAGGCCCTCACTGGGCAGTGAGGCCAAATGCCATGCTGGGTACCTGAGCTGCACAGAGATGGTACCCAGGCCCTGCTCATGGAACTGCCACTCAGTGCGAGAAGAAAGTGAGTGATGGGGTGTCCCTGGAGTCCCGTTCAAGGAGTGAACCGGGAACTATCTATTCCTCACCCGAGAGCCTTGGTTGTTGTTGGCTGCTGCTCTTCGATGTGAAAGTGTTTTCTGGAAGCTTCCTCAGCATCCCCATGCAGCACCTCCGCCCTGTTAGGCTGTTTCCCGGTCGGCTTCACAGTTGGCTCTAGCATGGGAAGAGGAAGGAAACGTCCTAAGTGGTGCTGGGTGCTTGAAGACCCCTCCCCGTCTGAGCAAGGCTCCCAGGGCCCCACCCTGTGGAAGCCCCAAGGGGAGTTGCGCTCCTAATCCAAGAATGGTTGTGCCCAGGTTCCTCCGATTTTATGTCATTTCGTCATACGTAATGCTGAGCGGAATCATCGTTTGCCTTGGTCCCCCCAAAACTGTCCAAGCTAGAAAACATTTAAGTAACGTGTTAGGAATGGATGATGCAAAAAGAGGTAATAACTCTGCTGCAGGGTTGCTCCCTCGAGGATGAAGCACACGGATGCAGAGGGACAGGAAGGCACAGCCCCGCAGTGCAGGAGCTGCGCGTGCGCGGAAAGGTCTGAACGCAGGAGAGGCCACCTGAGGCCAGCAGGGGCATGGCAGGCTGGAGCTGTGCAGAGTAGCGACGTGATCGCAAACTCCTTCCTCCAGGCAAACAGGAGGCCCCGCGGAAACCTCGAAAGTTTCCTGGAAAAGCGGAATCTTGAAGAACAATTACATTATATGGTGTCAGTAGTTTTTCACTTTCTATCATATGCATTTTGAGAGAAGATATGCACCCTACAAATCCTCCTGGGGCACCTGGGTGTGGCTGGCACGTGCCTGGCATTCTAGAGAGCACGCCTGGGGGCAGTGGGTGCAGGAGGAGACAACAGGCCAGCCACCCTGTGTGGAAGGCGGCTGCACTCCACAGCGCCCCGGGCTTGCGAGGAAGGCCAAGTCCTGGTGGGCTGGGGTCGGGGCCAGAGGTTTTGTGGTGTGGGAAGGGCCTGTGTTGGGGACAACTGAGTAAGAAGAGTCAGGAGGTCAGTTGGATGAGGATGGGACGGCAGAGCAAACACAGAAGGACAACCGTGGGGAGGCAGGACCCGCATGCAGAAGGCCTCCAGGAAATGACTGGGTGTTGGACCCTGCTCTCAAGGAGCCGTGGAATGCTCTCCCAGAACGACATCAGCTCTGAGCTTGGGCCCTTCCACAGGCTGGGTGGGGTGGCCTGGACGGGACCCAGGCTGAGGTCCACGGGCCTCGCCGAGGGATGGCACGGGCTCACAGTGGGAATAAATACCCCACAAGGACAGTGGCGGTGAGAAAGAATGGGCTCAGGACACGTTGGCTCAGGAAACACCATGAGGCTGGTCACTTGGCACATGTATGCTCTATATGTAATATTACATGTCAATATATATATGATATTCCATCTCACCCATACCTTAAGCACCAAATGGGCCTGACTGTGGCTACAGTGAGGGCTTCCTGGAGACAACCCACACCACATTGCCGTGATCAGTGGAAACCATGTGCGTGAACACACAGACACACACCAGTACACACACATTCTCCCTGGTGTGTGCGCGACCGCTCATACTGTACATGGCCTTTCTCGTTTCTCCCACTTTAGGATAGCCTTTGCTGGCAACCAGCCTGACACTGTGAGGCCGCTGTGTGCTTTGCTTATGGCCACTCTCTGTGCAGGGCTGGGGCTCTGCTGAGACCTGTGATTAACGACCGTCTCGCATCTCGTTCCCTGTAGCTTGTCGGGATGCCCGCGAGCCACGTCCGCGATGAAGAAAGCAAAGCTGTCCGGAGAGCAGATGCTGACCATCAAGCAGCGGGCCAGCAACGGTAACACGCCCCCCAGCCCTCCCGGCAGCCCCCACCAGCAATGGCCCTGCAGCAGGACCGCGCCTACCCTGAGTCCCCCGGCTGCACGGAACCGCTCACTTTTCTCAGAAAGCAGAAGCAGAAATAACTCTGGCCCTGTCTATAAAGTTAGTCAGCCTGGGCGAAAGCAGGCTTTCCCAAACCCACGTCCCCGACTTCCCCATCCTCATGACTCACAGCCCAAGTGGCGCAGGTCTGCAGCGCTAGGCGTTTGCTCCCCAGACCCTGCCTCCACACGGCAGGCCCTCACCCCAGCGTCCCCCGCCACCACATGGAGCAGCTTGGGGGCCCCTCAGGCCACAGGCCGCAGACGGCAGCACCCTCTCCCCGGCCCTCCCCCGTCACTCTCAGCATATGGGGTGCCTCATTTTTCTGAATCCATTCCAGACCCCACTTCCTTCCGAGTGTCTCTGCGTTGCTGTGGGCAACACTCCACTGAGCAGTCAGAGCTCCCCTCAGAAACACCCACGGTCCTTCCTCATGTTTCCCAGACTCCAAATTTGCGAATTTACCTCCTTCCTGAAGCTCACCTGTGATCTCAGAATCAGTGTTCACGGTGACTTCACTGTTGTTCCCAGACACGTGCTGGAGAGAACGTGCTGTGCTGAGTGCGCAGGTCACAGACGTGGTGGGGCAAAGCCACGCTGGGCCTTCGGTTTCAGCCCATGCTGTGAACAGGGCTTCTTTTTGTGGTCTCTTTAGTGACACATTTTTCTGTATTTTTGTTTTTGTTGGTGGTGATTTTGCTGTTTAAACTGGCCCCCAGACATAGTGTTGAAGAACTGTCCAGTGCTCCAGGCCTGAGAAGCTGCGATGTGCCTTGTGGAGGAAACACGTGTGTCCCGGGAGCCTTGTTCAGGCAGGAGTTACGGTGCTCTTGGCCATGAGTTCACTGTTAATTAACCCACAATATATGTTGAATGAGGTGTCTTTAAATGGAAGCTTACACACAACATGGTTGTTTATTGATTAGTTGACAAAAATGCTCTGACCAGAGGCTAGCAGTAACCTAGCCCTGTATTTTTTCTAGGATTGGTGTTTCAGAACTACATATACGTTGGGGGTGACTTTATAGAAAGGGAATCCTGTGAGTAATGACACTGACCATAATTGTGGCCATTCAGCCAGCTGGCCACCTTTCACAGCAGAAGTTCAGCCTCCCACACTGAAGCTTCCCTCAAGGGTCGTCTCCTCCCAAAATGAACTGACAGTGAACTGGGGCCTGAACATTCCCTGGTGAGCAGGTGCAGGAACCTGGGTCTTCCCTCTGAAACTTAGGTGTTTGTCTGAAGTCATGAGTACTGTCTGGCTCAGCCTGTGTCTGCCTGCAGGAGCATTTTGCTCTGCTAGTGGCAGGCACAAAATATTCCTCAACATGTGGCCCAACATTTACCAGAAAAACAATCAGATTCATGACATCCGTTCCCAGAGTCTTGGATTCCTGTGAGCCGGCACCTGCCTCACCAGCTCACGTCTGTCCAACACAGGCTTAGGTGCTTAGGTGCTGGGAAATGGAAGTCAAGTACAGACAACCCCTGCCTTCTACAAGTTCTCTGCTCCACCTGTGCAATCCCTCCCTGCAGTCCCGAATGGCCAGTGTACAAAACCCAGCTTTGAGATACCAGGACAGCAACGTCCCTTGTCTCTTTGTCCTTAAGGAGCCGTGTTCATGGCCAGAAAAAAAAAACGTTTAGTGAGCAACGTCCACACACCATGCACTTCTAAAGTACTTAGCGTGGCATTTCAGCTCCACACAACCCGGTCTTGAAGCATAAGTCCTCAGACGAGTTGATCTGAGTCTGTGTTCACCTGTTACTCATTAATGAGGGAAACAGCAGTGAGCTGGGGGCCGGTTCAGAAAGGCAAAGAGAAAAGAAAACTGAGAGCAGATCTGCAGAACCTAGAGGAGGCTCCCGAGCATCCAACCGCCCTCTCCCTGCCAGCGGGCCTGAGTTAGCATGAAGGGCACTGGACACTCAGAACCCCTCTCCCGTACCTACTGGACGCGGGTCGTGGGTCAGGAAAAGCAAGTGCTGCCTCACCCACCAAGGAGGGTTGCCCGTGACGATAACTGGAGGACCAGCAGCCAGCTCTCTCCTGGTGGGCACCAGCTCACGCACGGGCGCTACACGTCAACCGGCCACCTGCGGCCCCACTCCTACCTGCTGCTGGGCAGCCGTCAGCCATATTTTGTGTGCTTGGTCCCAGTCGCTGAACGCTCTGTCTGCATAGCCCTGAGTTTTAGCACGGGAACGTTTCTTTGTGCTGCGGGTGCTCACACACACGTGTCCACACATGAGGAGGCAGCAGCCCAGGTCACTCCGAGAGAGGGGCAGATGTCAGCCCAACTGGTCTTCCTAAGCCCGAGCCCGGGCTGCGGCCAGGCTGCCGAGGCTACTGTATCTCGTGTATCTCGACGCCATCTGTGCCGAGACCAGAGATCCTTCCCGCTAAACCCCACAGTGCAGTGGGCATGATTAGGCTGCTTCGCTGTCTGTGTGGCTAACTCAGGCCTGGGGACTTTCCCGCTGCACCTCAGGGGACGGAAGCACAGTATGCCACTTCCAGCTGAGATGGCACCTTCCTTCAAAATCAGAAGATTTTGGTTTTGACGTTGCCTAACTATAGATGCGGAAAAGAGGATCTCTCTCTCCCTGTCTCTCTTTCCTGAATGTTTTGAGTATAAATCGTTAGCCGAGGTCACGTTTACAACTTCACACCTCTCAAAGATACCCAGAAGCTTCCCTCTAAGCCTGGCCCAAGAAGTCAGGAGCACAGAAACACCGAACAGGGGCCAAGGCTGACTTGGGCAAGTTAGAGCCTGACCTTAGACTTTAGCTTTTTCTCTCGAGCATTTACCTGAAAGGGAGGCGAGTTATTCTAAATGTCCTTGAAGCTCCCTCTGGCTCTAAAATATTTTTCTATGGTTTGTGTTTTTAGGTTTAGCAAAAACTTACCCTCATCTCTTGCCACGCAAGATTATATTGTTTCCTTTATCACCCCCCCGCCCCCCCGTGCGTGACCTCAGGCAGTTGATTAGCACTGGCTCTGCTCGAGCAGCCACGTGACACCGGTGTGCTCAACAGTCCCCTCCAGAGCACTTCTGCAGAGGTTCCCCGTGTGGCTCTCAGCACCCTCAGATGAAGTTGTGCCACTGTGGGTATTTTCGGGGGGGAAAGGTTCTAGCCTTTAGGAGTAAATGACATAGGATAGCGCTTTATTTTTCTTTATTACCACAGAAGAAGGATGCCAGGAGAGGGGCTCTAACTTTGTCACATGCTCGGAACGTGAAGCCTGTGTTAGGAGCTTCGCATACTTACCTCGTGCTTGTGGCCCCCTGAGGGGGGCTGACATTTCTACCTCACTATGAAGAAGAGGAAATTTGGCGAGGTTGAGTGCTTGCACGAAGGCTTGTCTCCATTCAGCACAGAGCACCAGTCTTTTAGGAGCTACCAGAAGCCCAGAATAAATCAAAATCTGCCCGGGCCATGTTATGCTCATTTAAGTGGGACTTTTTTGTCTGTCTGTCTGGGGTCTAATGGGCACACCTTACGACTCAGGGAAGCCGCCTTACGGCAGGAACCCTCTTTATTTAGGCCCGTCCTTTGTAAAGGCAGTTCCCTTGCTGAGAGCGAGCAGGCCAGTCTGGGAGACTTCAGTACAAAGTCTAGTTCTGGCTCAGCTGTCCACAAGGCGAAGGCTCAGCAGAGAGGCCCAGCCAAGAGCAGCTTCCTGGGGCCAGTCGCGGCCTGCTGCACCCTAGTGAGGGCTGAGTGAGGGGACCAGAGTCTTTGCCCCAGGTCTGGCGTTCTCCTCACCCTAAGTGGTCTTCCCCAGAGGTGCAGGTGCCCTGGGGGCTCACAGGGATGTCCTGAGGCACATGGACAGCTCTAAGGAGCTAAGTTTCTAGACCCTTCAATTCCACACACCCTCACTGTCTCCAGAATCCTATGAACCAAGAACCTGTCCATAACCTGTGGTTCTTCCCCTCACTCGCCCCAGCCACCTTCCCCACCTTACAGAAGAGCAGCCCAGGACGGGTCGGAGACTCTTAGGGGGCACTCAGCAGGGGGCAGCTGACCACGAGGGCAGAGCAGAGCTTTGGGAAGTAATACTGAAGGTAGAAACACATCTCCACCCATCCACCCATCTCTTCCAGAATAGAAGTTAGAAAGGAAAGGTTGTCATGGGACCCATGTCAATATTTTATATGGATTTAAAATGACATTGACTTTGGTCATAAATGTGATTTGTTCTTGCAGATTGGTTGGATAATGAAGTCTGATTTGCCATTATAGTAGACATTATATAGTAGACATTTATTTTACATTTTTAAGACTGAATATTCCAATCCAATGTTTTGATGGAAATATTTTGAAAACACTCTATGACATACAATTTTCTAGAAATACATAAATATATATCTTTGGCAACTATTTAAACCCATAATACAAAAATTTCAGTGGTGACATTAAGTCTTGTGAGGGGGAATTTTGTTTTGTTTTAATTTTTTATGGTAAACAAAAATGGAAGCCCAATCACTATACCACATACAATTATTTTTTCTTTTTCTTTTAACAATTTGTCAATTCCCATTACTGGATCAGCAGGACAAAGTCAGTCTGTGCTACTGTTCTGTCAAAACACGAGATACTTGTAGACACAAATGCTTTTGTACTCTGGCTAGCTCTTGCAATACTTAATACTTAAAAAATTTTTAGCTCTCATTTAGTGAGTGCTCACTACAGTTACGTATTTCATATAAATTAATTTATTCCTTACAATGACTGTATCAGATAGGTATGATTATTATCCAGTATTTTGCAATGAGGAGTTTGACAGTTAGAGGGATTAAGAAAATTACTCATTATGGAACTCTTACGTAGTAGGATTTGGGTGTAGATTCCAGGTCTTCATGTTCAAAACCCAGGATCTAACCCTGAGTTCTAACATGTCTTGTCACAGAGGTCCAGAAATGCCTCCACACACCAGGAAATCTTTCCAGGCAGTGTGAGATCTGTCCCCTGCCAGGTGCTGGCATTGCAGGAAAGTTAAATAGAAGATAATAATTGCTAGAAACTCTTTTATAAAAATCCAGAGTAAGGAGCAATGGCCCTCCAAGTCTTCACATATATTCAAGAAAGACCACATTCTCTTATAACTTTATCCACATTCTTCTCAGCTTTAATTTGCCAGAGTCTAGCCCCAAGGCAAAGACATTGGCATTCTTGATTTTTTTGAATGCTTCATTCTCTGTGAGCTGCGTTGATCAAGTTCCTCCAACGTGCTGGTTAAGGTGACCCCACCGGAGCTTGCACGCACACCATTCTTTTGCACAGTTCTCTGGGTTTTGTAGCAGTGCAGTGAGCCTCAAATTGCCCACCCAGAAATGGATCGTTCTACTTATAATCTCACACATCCACTTTCCATGGAAACACACCATCTTGATATTAGGGACAGGCAGGTGGGTAGAACATTTTTCATCTTTTCCATAAAGAATTATCTGAAATCATGTATCTTGATGAAACAATCCTGAGGGTCCACAGTTGACAGCCCCCAGGGAGAGCTGCACCCCAGTGCCCCAGCTGTCATGAGACTCCGGCACCTGACCCTCTTCATTGAAATTGACAGTGTCAGCTCCTTGTTACCTTTTGCTACCATATGTAACTAAATATTTGAATTTTTATTTAATTTTCAGAAGAGACTGCTGTTGTTTTATTGATTGTGTTTGCTTTCACGATGTGTGCATACACTACAGAGAGATAAGAGCCATGACCAGAGGGACCTTGGAGAGCAGTGTTTTTTCTCAGGAGACATTCACAAGAGGGTTAGGATGGTGACAGTGGCATCAAAAGGACAGCCTGAACATCACATTGTGCCCCATAGATACATACAAGCCAACTTCAAAAAGTTCATAGAAAAATAAAATTAAAAGGTAATACAAATAGTCCTATGAACTTTTTGAAGTACCCTCATACAATTATTATTTGCCAATTAAAGAAATAAATTTTAAAAAGAATAGCTTGGAGGGCCGGCCCATGGCTCACTCAGGAGAGCGTGGTGCTGACAACACCAAGCCAAGGGTTAAGATCCCCTTACCGGTCATCTTTTAAAAAAATAAAAAAAAAAAGAATAGCTTGGGTCTGAAGAAGGATAGAGAAATTTCAAAAGGCAGCTAGACCCCAGGGTGTGGGAGAATATGGGAAGGATTTCCTGCGCTGTTTAGAAACATGTGATTGAACTCTTGTGTGCATAGTTTTAGCCTTCAACAAAAAGTATGACACACACCCATAAAAAGAGAAGTTTTAAAATTGTTCAAACCTGGGGCCGCCCTGGTGGCGCACTGCTACAGTGCGCCGCTTGAGAGCTCGGCGGCGCTCCCGTCGAGGGTTCAGATCCCACATACAGACCGGTTCCCACTCACTGGCTGAGCTTGAGAGCTCGGCGGCGCTCCCGTCGAGGGTTCAGATCCCACATACAGACCGGTTCCCACTCACTGGCTGAGCGAGGTGCGGGTGCAACACTGAGGGTTGCAATCCTGTTGCCAGACACGAAAAAAGACAAAAAAAAAAGAAGTAAAATTGTTCAAACCTAAAAAACTGGAGAAATATGGGAAAAGGTATTGTCCAGAAATATCCACAGAACGTACTTGGGAAATCCACCCAGACAGCCCTAAAGGATCGCGGTGTTGATGCATGCAGCCTGCATGGGTCTCAGCTCACACGGGAGGTGTTCTCGGTGTATGCAAATGCTTGCCATCTAACAGAATTGTGTGGTGAATCTGTGTCAAATGATACACTGATTCCTAATTTAGTTGCTTTACAAATCAGGATTTTTCTGCGTTGGGATCCTTATCTTGGGGCATAACTTTTTTTTTTTTTTTTAATTTTGCAAAAAACACCACCTGAGGCCCCATCCCACTGAAGCCTCCACTTTTTCTTTTTCTCATCTTTGCAACATCTCAGCAGAGAGGCGCTCCAGGCTCTGTTCAGCTAATTCCTACAACAGCATTTTGGGGGTGGTCTCAGGATGATTTGCTCCCCAAGCCCCTCGGAAGCCTGGGCTGGATGCATTCTCCTTTGGTTTTGAGTTAGGATTGCTTGTTGTGCCATGGACCAATGGAACGACAATCCCAGGTCCTGGATTTCAAGGGCAATTGGTTTCTCAGAACCTCTGCCCTTCTTCCCCTGCATATGCTCAATTGTGTGAAACCAAATGGCCACCAACACAAGGGAATCTCCAGCTCTCTGATCTTGGCAGTGTCATGTTGCCAGCAACAAACACAGCCAGCCACGGGCACAGGCACTGAAAATGCCCTTTGTAATTCCAGGGTGGGGCCCGTGTGCTGGGACTGCCGGATGATCTGTGCAGCCTCTCAGGCCACACCTGGGCAGTCCCCTGCCAGGATCACTCGGGCAGTCAGGGACACACCTTGCTGGAGGTCGTCATCTAACAAAGGTGCCAAATTGGCAATTATGTCATTGATAGGTGTTTTTTAGTTATTCAAAACAAGAGGACTTTTTTTACTCATTAAAAGTTGAATATTTAGAGAATGCTTTTGTGACCACCCTCCCAACATGCACCCCTGCCCCTACGTAATGCTCTTTCCATTAGATGGCTTTGTTTTAGTCGCAAGGTGAGAAAGCCCCTAGCGCTCAACAAATCATGATTTTGGTTACACATCTATTGCCCATTTTCCTACCCAGAGTCTAGGGTGGTGAGGGCAGGTGTCCTGCAGTCTTGTTTGTGGATGTGCCTGAAGAGCCCAGTCCCAGGCCTGGGACATGTGCAGAATGACGGGTGACCAACTGAGAGGACAGACACAGGGGAAACGGATCAGGCTGAGCTTGGTAAATCGCCATCCGGACACAGTGGTTTCTGGCCAGCATCTGAGCCCAATCCTGAGATTGTGGTGAACCATCCTAGGGAAAATCAGCCCTCCGCGTCCAGGGGTTTCCTGTGTGCCTCGGCGGGTTTTCTTAGGTGCCTTAGTTGGGCACACAGGGCAGACATAGGGGATAAAAGACACACAAAAGGTGACTTTTTTTTTTTTACATTCAAGGATATATTTCCAGGTAAACTCAATTCCAGATATAAAAAGAACAAATGAAACTCTGACTCCAATACTTTCACATATGCTAGTTCTAACGTGCTCATATTTCACCATCACAGGTATAGAAAACGATGAGGAAATCAAGCAGTTAGATGAAGAAATCAAGGAACTGAACGAGTCCAATTCCCAGATGGAGGCTGATATGATCAAGCTCAGAACTCAGGTAACAGTTTCTGCAGCCCGCAATTTTAGCTGTAGCACGTGCCACGGCACCAGGCAAGCGTGGCCCGAGCAGCTCTTAGGAGAGATGCGTTTCGTTTCTTCTTGCGCACTTTGTTTCTTCTGCTGAAATAATTTCTGTGGCGATGTGAGCCGCAGCAGAGCGGCCGTCGGTGGTCTAGTTGTTTATGTGTGTGTTTGTGTTTTTAATGAAATATCACTTGAGAAGAGGCATTCCCAGAGGACGCTGTTCCTGCAGAAGATGAGGGGTTTTCCTTTTGAGATATTTTATGTCCTAATGTTGTTTAACCATAATATTAAGTATGTAATGACAGTGGATACTTTTGGGATTTCAAGTAAGGAGTGCTTGTCACTTAGGCCCCCTCGGTGTCTGGGGATTTGGGGAAGCTGCTGTTGTATGTGCAGAGTTCAGGGCTTGGGGGAAGCCAGTCGGGCCAGACAACGGTGTGGCTTTCCTTGTGTAACCTCCTGTGTGCTCACAAGCTGCCCACAGGAGCATCGTTGGCTTCATCCCACATATACATGCAGCAGCTGAGACTCAGAGGGGCAAAGTCCACAGCCAGGCCAAGGCCACCAAGGTCCAGCCGGACCTTGTCTGACCCCAAGACTTGCCCTGCCCCCATGCCTTGTGCGTTGGGGTTCCAGCCATCCAGTGCAGGCTCTGGGAGCAGAATCTCCTTGCAGGAAAGTGCTCCTCTTCCCATCACTGGCACACATAAGCGGAGGCATTTCAAACCTCGCAGAAACCAGGCCTCCACTGTGACCTGTTCCCATGGACCTGGACCGGCCCCTCCCCAGCAGTCCATGATGTTCCTGAGGGTTCTCAGGAGACACTTTCCTGACCGCTAGAACGTAGATTCAGTTCACTGGGAGTGCGTCCAGAGGACTAGAGATGATGCCATGACACACAGCTAACCAAGTGACTGACACAGACCTCCTGCTGAGCTCAGGGTAAGTGCTGCGATCTTCTAGAGCTGAGCTTGCCCGAGAGAAGAGCGTGGCAGCCCAGGACGCTGAGACTAGAGAAACCTGACTGCACGAGCTTTGCCTCGCTCCTCGGGAATCATTTTGGCTCTGTTTACTATCACTGGTTTATTTTTGGCTTTTTTTGATAGTTGAGGTAAATATTTGCTCCCTATGGCATCTATTTACATCCAACATCAGAAGTGAATCTTGAGGGTTAATATTTATTCTCACTGATGTGGCCAATGCAAGAGGCGACTTCCCCAGGTGTGCCTGGGTGGCTCTTCCTTGACACACTGAGCAGAGTCCCTGCACTATGCACTCTCCGGGCTGGATGTTGAGCTGCAGCCCACATGTCGTGTTCGTGAGCAGCAGCCCTGAACACGGAGACAGGGTCAAGTCGTCGTCTTACCTGACGGGTCAGACCTGGTGGAAACTCACTAGACAGCGGCCTGTGCACCTGCCTCTCCTCCCGTGCCACAGCCATGCGGCCAGGCGTGCTTGCAGGTGGAAGGCGTCTGCCGCCTGCCCGGAGCCCGGGCCATAAACAGCCCTGCGTCCTCTGTGGAAAGTGGAAGGTCGTGACGTGCGGCCCTCTCCCTTCCCACACCCTCCCTCCCTCATGGAGCAGTCCCTGGAACGGGAGCAGACCCAGGCCACGAACGTTCCTGTCCACTCTGACCCGAGGACATTAGACCCAGCTCCTGGGCCCACGGCTCCCCCAGGGCACTGGGCCCTACTGTGGAAGAGCAGGCCCAAGCAAGAGCGGGAAGCAGGGAACTCCACTGAGCATTTGTAAATTTTAGCTACCTGTCCTGCTGAGAAGACCCTGCCATTCTCTGTCAAAGGGGCTGAGTGTCACCATCTCTAACCCAGGAGCACCCTTACTAAAATGTCAAATGTATTTTGTTCACTGCCCAGTTGTGAGAATTCAGATTTAGGACAAGTGCACCTTTGTTTGCTTGAGTAGAGGACTTCACCAATTTGGAATGTGTTTGAACAGCATTTTGGGTCAAGTTAGTGTGATCAAGATAAATTCTGCGTACCTGAAAAATCCAGACATTCTTATGCTCTACAGCTTGATAAGAAGGGTCTGTCTCTGGGTCTCCGAATGGCTGTCCACCAAGGTCTCTGCCCCCGGCTTCACCCCACAGCTGTGCAGCCCCAGCAGAATGCCACGGTGCTGCGAGGCCCAGCGTCCCCATCCGAGCTGCACTGCATTCCGAGCAGCACCCAGGCGGGGCATGCCGAGACTCCACTCCAGATTCCACAGGATTACTAGGACACATCTCACCCGAATCAGCTCCATTCACACCAACAGACAGGACCACGAATCCCCAGAGACTCAAGCAGAGAGCTGAAAAGATGGCAGTAACTCATCTCCGCCCCACGGCACGCATGGAACTTGCTTGCCAATGTCCAGAAAGCAAAGTGTCCACTGAGGAATAGGAAGCAGGCGACTCGGGTGCGAGGGGCAGTCCTATCTCCAGCAGCATGAGCTGAGCACGGCTGTGCGAGCCCCCAGGTGCCGAGGGCCCCGGAGCTGGGGAGGCACGCAGCGGCCCATAGGAAGGGCCCGAGGAGGAATGAATGACTGCACAGCCCCAGGTGCTGGGAAGTGAGAGCAGTGTCCCAGGCACAGGACACGGCGGGACCACAGGGAGGACGGGCTGGGGCGTTTGGGGAAAGGTGCTGCTGCCTGCAGGGGTCACACTGTTGGACACCCACAGCAGTCTTGTCAGGGAGGTGGGTGGACAGGAGCATAAGCCTGCAAGAGGTAAGGAGCATTTTGAAGCCAGATTGCTAATAGGAGATCACATGGCTTCTGGATTGGTGGCCCCCAGGGGCCAGCTTTGTAGCTCTGCCTCTTGGGAGTGTGACAGGTTGGTTAACTCTGCAGCTAGTCCTGGGCCCCAGCCTCTCTGCAGCACCTGTCAGATTGCAGATTGTTCTCCTGGGACCAAAAATCCTCTGTAATAATGCAGCCTCCTGATAATTCCAAATACTTGTTTCTGTTCCTCTTCAAGCACATGTGACCGCAGAAGGCAGTGTACCCTTCATAGGGACGCGTTCCTGGAGTTCCACCCTTCCACCTGCTCACTACTGATGTGCTCGGATTCTTACCATGTTATGCTTCTTCTGGAAATGTCTTTAAAGCATGTCACACCATCCCAGGTACTTAGTCTGGACCAGGGATCGGCAAACATTTTCTGCAAAGGACCAGAGAGCGGATACGTCAGGCTGCTGGACGATGCAGCCTTTGTCACGCAGCGCTGTTGCTGCAGTGTGAACACGGCACAGCATCCTCTGGCAGGTGTGGCCACCTGCAGCGCAGTGTCACCAGGGTCTGGACTTGCAGTTCATGTCACTTATGTGCCTCATAAAATGTTGTTATTCTTTTCATTTTTTTCTAACTATTAAAGATGCAAAGCCCCTTCTTAGCTCTTGAGCCTTTCAAAGTCAGGCCAGGGCTGGATTTGACCTTGGTGACCCCTGGTCTGGACAGAGACTGCCCATCTTTAGAAATGCTTTGCTCTGAAAGACAGCAGTGTGGACGAGTCTGTGAAAGTGCAGGGTTTGGCCTAGGCTTGTGGACCAGCTTGCACTCACGCGGGAGCTGTCCCAGGCAGGGTCAGAACACGCGCTGTTTGCCAGCAGCCCCGCAGACCATCAGTGTTTCCTAAACAGAGTCAGAAACAGGACTCACCTTCCTGGGGGAGCCCCTGCCGTCACTGGACGTCCTCACAATTTAGACTCGGATTCCCATGGGGGACCACACGCTCAGTGATGGGGACAGAGTCTTCCTCTCGGAGGAAGGACAGTAGGAGACACATGGCTAATGACCCATTGCATCCCCGTCTTGACCCTGAATTATCTGAATCTCCAACTCATAAACCTAAACTCTAAACTCCAAGCTGCTCGAGTTCAGGAGATGGCTGTGAGACTTGAGACATCTGGTAGCTCCAGAAACCCCCTCGGAAGCTGGCGAGGGCTTGTGATGCGGCTCGGGTTCAGGAGGTTAGTTTCCTGAGCCATGGAGGCATGACACGAGTGTCTGTTGTGGCTTTGGCTGTGCTGATGTTCAACTGCATACTGGGTGCCACTGTCAAGTGGAGTCAACATGAGGAGGTTTGTCCTGCTCTGGAGACGAGCCAAGACTTCATCAGCCCCGTGGGTTCACCCAGCGAACACCTTCACATAACTTCTCGGGCATTTATGGAGATTCCTCAGCACAGGGAGACACTTCCACCTCCTCCGAAGAGTCTGGACTTGTCAGTAGAGAACACAGGTTGAGGAGAAATTGATCTAAAATGTGTCCCTACTGATGCCAGTGGAGGACGTCAGGCAAAGGCCTGCAGACTACAGAGCAGCCCAACACAAAGCCTAAGGCATAGTGCCCGCCCCGGACCTCCCAGAAGCTGCCTTCTTTATTCCCTTGGAATCAGATTGACCAGGAGAAATGACCGAGGGCGGCCCCAGGCCAAGGCCACGGGGCTGGCACAGCCCAGAAGGGCTTGCAGAGAGCAGAGGACTGGGAGGAGGCAGGAGACCACCCCAGATGCAAGTGGGGGAGATCCTTCCTCTCCTCTGCCTCCTGCCTGTGTGGTCCCTAAAACCCGTGGGCCCTGTGCCAATCACGCCATTTCCCTAATATAATTCAACCTTAGAAAACCCACATCTGCTCAAATCAGCATTCTGTCCAGTAACTTACCAGCCAGCTGCCTCTGCTGGGTGTGCAGGGAACGCTGATGCCCTGGAGACAGCGACCAGTTCCTCGATGGAAAAGAGGACGGGCAAGGGGAAGCTGCCCTTGAGGGGCCTAACCCGGAGGCTGGCTGCGTCGGCCACACGTCCTCTCCCAAGCTTCAAGCGATCATTTGAGATGGGAACACTGCTTTGATTGAAGATCACAAGGAAAACAAACAAACGGGTGAGTATTTCAGGGTGTGCTCGGAAATGAAGCCATGTGATTCCGAGGGCCCTCCACAGGGCAAAGTCCCCAGGAGAACGGCAGGGCTGGGGATTCCTCCAAGGGGACACCCACACTAACTCTGCGGCCCTGAGAGGCGTCCCCAAAGGGACACCACCGGCTTCCAAGAAAGGATACGGGCCAAGGCTGGGGATGACAGATGGAAGGCACTCAAAACGGAGAGAACCTAGAATTAAAACCAAATGCAAGACAAAAATAAGAAAATGGGGAAAGGAGAGATACAGGGAAAGAAGACGAGCTACGAGAGAGGGATCAGCAGAGATGAGCAGGGAAGTGGAGGATGGAGCAAGATGGACAAGAGAGTCCCACAAGTCACAGGCCCATCATCCAGGTAGAAGGACCAGAGAAGGACAGAGACCTGCCTGCAGCAGAGCCGTGCTGTGTGGCGTCACGCAGCAGAGCCCTGCAGCCTGGGCAGTGCTCCTCCCCCGTGTGGCTGCTGATGGAGGCCCCAGCACACCCCACTCAAGCCCCTGGACCGTGGTGAAACGTAAATCCTCTCTGGATCACTAGACAAGGGAAGAGTGGGCCAGGAAGCCAGCAGCCCCTTGTCTGTTACAGGAACGCATTAGCACCAGCCCATGCAGACACCATGTGCCTGCCTGCCATCTGTGTGGGAAGACAGTGATGTGCCCCACAAGGAAATTAACATTTTTTAGGACTTACCTGTAGCAGAATCAGATTCAGGCTAAAAAGAATAAGTATTATCAGGAATTCAGTAAAATACTAACCTAAATAGATAAGGTAATCCCATTAAGCCAGCAGAGAGGACAGGATAGCACAAGGAAAGAGTCATCGTGTAATGCTCTGTGCCCGGCACCAAAAAGAACGTTAAAAACTGAATGAAAGTCGACACAGCCTAGGAATGTACCTAGCATCAACCACACCCCAGAAGGACAAGCTGTCATAGTTCAGTCACCGGTTCCTCCTTGTACTTATTTGTGGGGTGCAGGGTGTTGTTTCAATACATGCACCTGCTACGCGATGGTTCACTTCGGGTAGACAGCGTAGTTTTGTACCCGTTAGTCCATCACTTCTTTTTTTTTTTTTTTTCCTTTTTGTCTTTTTTCATGTTCGGCAACAGATCGCAACCCTCAGTGCTGCACCCGCACCTCGCTCAGCCAGTGAGCAGGAACTGGTCTGTATGTGGGATCCGAACCCTCGGCGGGCGGGAGCGCCGCCGCGCTCCCAAGCAGTGCACTGTAGCAGTGCACCACCGGGCCGGCCCAGTCCATCACTTCTTAACTCCAGTCCCCTCCCGGCCTCTGGTGACCGTTGTTCTACTCTACTTTTGTGGGAACCACATTCTTTTCTTTTTCTTTTCTTTTATTTATTTACTTTTTTAGATTCCTCATATGAGTGAGATCAT